CTTTTATTTTTAAATTTTTTTTTTTTTTTTTCTATTTGTCTTTATTTGGAGGATGGCCCCATGTCCCCTCCCCCTGGATCTGCCCCTAATACATAATATGTATTTAAATAAGGATCAAAATTTAAACCATTCATCATGTGTGCAATGGCCAAGTGCATGTTAAAGAATGCAAGATTCTTCAGACAATTTAATGCTTAGATGATTAGAATTTGATATATATTCAGAATAAGCTCTCATTCATGATGATTTACATGGCATATATAATAATTATATGAACTACATGTCTAGAACAAAATTCTTTAATGTCGATCAATTCCATAATGCATTAATCATTCCTAATGCAAAGCTACACTTGATGTTTACTGAATTGTATTATTATAAATATACATACTGTGGTAATGTAATTCCATACTAAGAGACACTATTTTGTTTATAATATGTAATGTACACATATTATATATTCAGATTTGCTAGTTAATACTGTAACACAATATTATGAACATAATAAATATGGCCTAATAATTTCAGTGCTTATATAGGAATAATCATGGCCCTTCAACAGAAAGTTGAAAAGGAATATATTCTTATGAAATTAGTCTTAGTCATTGTTCCATATATTCTTCATGTTTTTTTGATAATGAATTAAATAATGTATTTTATTATGTTGTTCTTTAAGAACGTGTTTGTGTGCATGATTTATTCAATAACAATATGCAAGTATTATTACTTATTTATTGTTTGAAATTGGATGTTCTTATTAACATTGTTGTATTGATGAAATTATTGATATAGTTGATGGTATTTTTTTTCTTTCAAAAGCCAAGGCCTTTTTGAACATTTAATATCATGCTAATTTTTTGTTTTTTTTCAAAGGCATATACAATGGATCATTTCACTAAGCCCCACCCTTTCAATATTGGTGCTAAGATTCTTCATTAAATGATAGTCATTCGTAGAAAAACATGGCTGATTCTGCCTGTCATAAATGTAAACTTGGTTGTTGACATTGTTGACACAGTATGTCGCCTATTTAATAATAAGTTTATCTTTTTAGTAGCTTGATAGCCACTTTGTAAGGCTAAAAAAAACCTTGATTTTTCATGACATGTACATGTAATTCTTATATGTACTGTATCATAGTAGAAAGGATGAATGTTTATAAATTTTTTCCCCAAAATTACCACCTACAAATTAAAAAAAACTTAATTCACTTTTTATCTAGATTAAATTTTGGCAAATTCCAGAGGGCGGTCTTCTAACAAATCGAAGTGAAGCGGATGCGACATTGCATGGTCACACAAGGAAAGTAACGTTTCTCAACTGGCATCCGGCAGCTATGAACATCATTGCTAGCATTGGTTATGACTTGAAGGTAATGAGCTGACAATAGGTGGCAGCATTTGTTTTTAAACTACAGCTTTGTTAAAATTTTCTTAATGATTTTCCTGAAGTGAAATAATTCATCAACAAAATCATTATCACTAAATTATTGTGATCATTGTCATCATGTCTAGTACCATCATCATCATCACTATCATTATTATTGATATCATACAGTAGATTTCATTTCATTCACATTGGTTTACATAATTGTTTCAGTATGTCAAAATGAAGTGGTATATAAGCCACATTCACATTGCAAAGTTTAACCAAGGAATTGTACCCCTGTTCGCACTTGGATTTAAGTATACAGTTGATTTTAAGATAGTAAGCAAGGGAGGATATAGGGAGGTTGAACGGAAGGCAGGTGCCCCCTCCCCCTTTTGCCACTGCCGTTTTTTATTTATTTATGGAAAAAAAATACAAAATGGCATACAAATATTAAATTTAACAAAGTTAAATATTTTGAAAGCATATACTAAAACATGAATTATACCCTTATTGGAGACTTCTGTTATGATTTTACATCTAGGCCTATATGAAATTGGTACCCCTTCTCAAAACCTCCCCCTCCCCCTGATTAAAAAAAATCTGGATCCACATCCCTTGGAAGATTTGTGCATGTATGGCTAGTATAAATTGTTGATAAATTAGGTGAAATGTTCAGCAATGGGTAGTCAGTAGCGAATGTAGCAGAAATTGCATTGTTCATATTGGAATTTCCTGCTTGAGAAAAATAGCCTGGTTTATTGTCTGTGGCCAATATTCACTTGTTAAGCTTACCTCCTGTCTTAGATAATTTGACAAAGGAGAAAAGATACAAATATCTTTATTATACAAAAAATGGAAATAACTGCTCATGACTGCTAGTACAACAATATTAACTTATCTTAAATACTTCAGATTGAAGTGTTGTATAACAGCTGAGTAGAGCAAGTAATTGTAACTGTCCGTGTGTGCATTCACCGTCATCATTCTACCACATCCTAACAATAACGGTGCCTATAATGTCAGTATGGGGGCGGATGATTTGTGTCCTCCAATATAGCCTGAAACACTCATTGGTAGAATGAATCAAGCGTCTGCACACACAAACTAAATTACTTTCCCCGTCCTACCCAGCACCCTATCAATTCTGTTTTTATACACAATACCCCCAATTAGAATGTTAAACTCCTGTCCACACTATTAAATTTTATGTAGCAAATGTGATATGCCCATATTTGGGTGTAATATGACTATATTTGGGTGTAATATGACATCATCATACCCATATATGGGCATATCACACTAATTTGTCATATAAAATTTGATAGTTTGGAGTGGACAGAGTTTATTCAGTTTGTTTGCTCACAATATTTTTTTTCTTTTTTTGGGTCACGGTTAGTTTCATTAAAATTATCCAATGCGAACACAGCTTAAATCTACTCTACATTAAATCTCCAGTTAATCCCTTGAATGGTGTGATAAATGTCAATATATTCAAATTCCTTGATAATTGCTGTGGTCTAAATTATTCTTAATCATTCCTTACTTTATTGTACTTAGAATTCCACGTTATAAAAGTCATCCTTTAAAAATAGTTTGTCTTTAAATCACAAACTTTACTTAATAGATATTAATAGTACATTAAAGATACAATTTTCTTAAACATAATCTGTCTTTTGTTAACTAAAAACTTTAACCAAAAGGTCCCCCATTAAAAACTCCAAAGTTTCGATAGCTTTTGAGCTACAGTATTCAAGCAGATTTATACTATTTAGCTTTAGAATTACATAGGCTCATAAAATTGTCTTTAATCGCTTTAAGGATGTTTTCTTTGCAACTATGTACATATTTTTTTTTTATCTGGGTCAGTCTCAGTGACAGTTTTACTACAGTACATTACAGTAGACTTAACTTTTATAAATGAGCTATTAAAATTAAGATAGTATGCAGACATAACACACAACATTATTTAAATATCTTCTTTATCACCCTCCAGTCCTTAGCAGATTCTCTCTCCCCTCTTCTACCCATGCTTACATGTCTTGTCCAGTTCAGCTTTCTTCATGCCCGTTTAAAGCAAGTCAGTTATTTTAAGCTGCAGGCCCAGGTTAGCAATGACTAACTTCCTTCTAGACTTATAGCATGGTCCTGCGGTTACAAGATGTGTTTAGCCCGGCGTAGTTTATCCATATAGAATACTTATCCATATAGAATACTTGACTCGTGTAGATTCAAGATTGTGAAGTGTTTGCTTTTTTTTTTATTGTAATTGTAAAAGGAGTAGTGGATAATTTTGTAACTAAACCAAGGACAAGTTAGTTGGAAAGTAAATTAAATATGTGTCTTGCACTGTTTTAAAGTGCAGAATTCTGTACAGTACAATGGTTTAGAGGGTTAGTTTCTCATCTTACAATCTAATAGGCATGGTTCGAGTCTAATTATTATTCATTGTTTAAAGTTAATGTACAATCCAAAAATTTAACCTAAAAAATATTGCTTTTAATAATGATCAAATTGTCAATATTTTATTGTATGATATTAAATAGGCACTTATCCAAACAATTTAGTGTCTGATTTTCGGAATTTATACTACGGTAATAAATAATTCAAAAAATTCTTAAATTTATATTCAAAGGAATGAACATATTATATGCATCCTGTTAATTCATTTTATATATACCACAGTTCTCATGTATAAGCCCATCTCGGATATAAAGAACACCCTAGCTTTATGCCAAAGTTTATGTACCACCCTTTCCTCGGGCAAAAGCCAAGGTTATGAATTTTACAAATATTCTCAGAAAAAAAGCATTCAATAATTGGCTTTGAATTAGACATATACAGTGCCGAAAAAGTGCCATTTGATTAAAAGGAGATTCCCTGGGTATAATTTCACCCCAAAAAATTACCTCAAAATTATTTTCTTGGGGGGGGGGGGCTTATACTAGAGGAACTACGGTATTGAATTTCATTGTCCCAAGTTTATTATCTCAATATTTAAAAGGTTGTTTGTCTGAAAGCTGTATTGATGAGACACGAGACAACAATATAGAGTTGGTGATTCATCCAAAGAATATAGGTTTGTGCACACATGTTTATATATAGGTGGGCTGTAAAGATTGAGGAAACTGGTGATTCAAATTATACTGTTAATCCATCAATAAAGCAGACAGCCCGACTAAGAAACTAGATCATCATTCTTATGGTCAATTCTGTTTACCAAAAGCGTAATGGTTGTGTGCTCTGAGCGCTGAATTGGCCATCAGCAAGCTTTTTGCTCATCAAGTTCTAAAGTGATTGTCAGCGACTGACCAACCCCATGCCTCAGTCACCAAAGGGAAAATACTTACCAAGGCTGAAAGCCAATTTTGCTGGGGTTTGTAACACCCTAGGGCCTATGTCCATCAGGACCTTGGCATCTCTTAATTCAATTATCATCTATTCAGTAACTTTAAATTTAAAATATTGAACAAGTAGTTATATAGCACATGACGCAGGCAGAAAAGTTTTTACGGAATTTTCATAAACGGTGCCAGTTTTCATAAGACACTTTGATTTTTTTTTATACTATATAAGATGGTTATAAAATAACAAGAATAAGAAAAGGGAAGTTTATTAGTTACTCTTGAGAACATCAGTGGCATATTGAATCAATTATATAATTATATAACTTCAAGGAGAGTAAGACTCTCACTAGAAGTAGAACATTTAGAGCCATGAATAGGTCCAAATTAAATAAATTTTAAAAAAATTTTTAAAACATTTTCATTTCTCTTTTTAATAGCCACGGTCATTTCATGTTTTGACAAACTTTTTTTTTTTATGCAGAAACAATTTCAAAATGAGATTGTTGATTAGGTGAAGTATTTAAACCAAATTTATAGACGCAATCCTATGGACTTGGAAGTTCTGGATTTGTTTATTCAGATGTTCTGAAGTGCCTTGCCTTTTAAGGTCTATTTTGGAGCACAACGAAAAGAATGATTGCGCTAATCAATAAACATGGTTTTAGACTTCTGTTGATAAGTTTGTCCTTTTCTGTTTTGACAGCTTGTTAACAGTTTTACCGCTCATTCCTCATTGATAATAATTTTAACTGTTGATTAATCTTGCTTGTACCTGTAGGAATGCTATCAAGTTGGGAGACATCCCAATGCAGGAGCTTTTTAGGCAGTCTTCTAGACCTGTGTATTATAATAATGTGATAATGATTAATTTATAATAAAAATAATTGAATAATATAAAATAATTCAAAGCTTTGGGATGATCCATTTTTAAACATGATTAATATCTAATTATCAAATACATTACACAGTGTAATGTAGAACAACACTGCAAGATAGATGTTGCTGATTACCTAGAGGGCGCTCTACATCATTTCATGTATTTCTTAACATGGGCATTCAACATAGTTTTTTTTTTTTTTTGCTATTGTTAACCAATGTTTAATATTTGACCAAATAATTTGATATTTTGAAACACAGCTTTCAGAGGAATTTAAATGCACCCTTCCTCCAATGGTTTATACTGGAAGTGGTTGGTGCAACAAGTTGTGAGGCTAAAGACTTTTAACATTGATTTTTGGGCTTCAAAACTATCACTTTTGCAAGCCCATTGAGCGCAGCAATTTACCCACTGTCTCTCTCTCTTTAACCAGTACGTGTACCTAGGAGGTTTAAGTGTTAAATGCGCTGTTTCTCATGCAGCAAATTATGAAATACTGTACCCACTTCTGCCCAGGGAGCAGATTTGATCTTCCGTATGCGTTTGTTTAACTTTGTTGATTAATAGTGTGAAAAAAGCGTTGTCTGGAGTGCCATAATATACAGACATCTTCTTGTCATTGACTCTTCTTAGCACTGAATTTTTTAATATTTATTGGATAATTCTTACTATAAATAAATTGTGAAAAAATACCCTCACAAATTTCAAAATATTAAAAAAGAAAATCCTCTACTATAAGCCCATCCCCTTTGAATACAAAATTTGGTCGATTTTAATGGG